AATACAAGAACAACTTTTACAGGTGGTTAAATGATCAATCAAATACTTCGCTAGCCACGATCGGTTAAAATGTGTTACGTAACCAAACATTCTAAACCCCAGCTAAAGCTGGAGAAAAATCTTGTGATCTTCCAAGTGGTAAGAAGTAAGCAAATAGATGCCTGAACTATTTTAGAGAAACAAAATAGAATTATTTATTTTTTACAACATCCTATTAAACCGAGCTAGGTCGGTCTGTTTGCGACACCTTGACCCAAGTCACTAGTCAAAACATCATTGCTTTCAGTCTGTAATAGCGACCGCGGTTATTATTCTCCCATAGAAACCTTCCGCAGGGTTAATAACTAGTCATGAACACGTCAACAAGTCATCTACTCAAGATTAAGTGCGTTTTCCCTTGGGGGAGACCTCTAGGATCCTTTTTATGAAGGTGTCATTGTATCTGAAGTGCTGTTTTGCCAATTTACAGGTATCACGATTGGCTTTTTAATTATGTTCACCTTCTATCTCTGAGTGTAGGGATTCCATCATATTCAGCCTGTTTAACAGTGGAACAAGTTTTTACGGCGGATTTCTCATCTTCTCTGTGTTGGGTTTTATGGCCAAAAATCAAGGAGTTCCAATAAAGGACGTTGCGAAAGCAGGTAAAACAGTATTTAGCACCTAGCTCACAAAGGACTAACGCATCAGAAACTCTTTACCAGATTAACCTTCCCGGAGTCAGATTACCACGTTTCACACGGCTCAAGCAATCAATACTCTGGCGATCACGCTGAAAGTGTATAACTTACAATTTCCTCCAAATGCCTCGTGATCTAATTAATTTCTTTGTAGGTCCTGGACTGGCCTTCATTGTTTATCCTGAAGCCGTGGCTCAGATGCCCTTAGCTCCATTGTGGTCCGCTCTGTTTTTCTTCATGATTATTTTGCTGGACCTGGACAGTGAGGTAAAGAATATTTTTTACCTGCATTCTCTCGGGCTGAGTATTAGAAGTAATGATTAAATAGCTTTCTTTTAATTACAGCTGTGTGCTTGGTTGCTTTGCCCCTACATAGGAGTGAGGCTGAAAGTGACCTTGTTATGAAGGAGAAGTGAAAGTAGTTGGGATCATGACAGAGTATTTTGCTTGTAAAATGTGCCTTAAAGTTTATCAAAAATAGTGTTTATTATCTTGAAAGTAACATTTTCCAAGCCAATACAAACAAATTGAAAAAAAATGTAAATAAAAATAGTGTTGAAAAGTCTCAACTGGCCGGAAGCAGACCAGTTAGGTACAAACAATGCGCAGTCAAGGAGTGGCACTCGGAGTTAGCGAGAGCAAATCCATTGAGTAGCAGGGCGGTAGGCTTGAACTTTGGACCACCAGATTACAGTCTGGCGTCCTAATCGCTCCTGTTGCAATAGGTCAATCTCGACCTCCTGTTAAAAGCATGGCATCTAAGTGTGTAACAATATAATGGACTATCATGGTCAGGATAAGTATTTTAAAACATGAGATAGAAAACAACTGATGGGAAAGCAGACCTTTACAACGGTCAAACCCTATTCTTTAATCGAGGGATCTTCAATACGAAAACAAGATCCTTTTGAAACCATATTCAAGAACACTAACAATTTAGTCTATAACCTAAAGTAAGTTTCCATAGCTTGTTTCCATTCTTTTCTTTGAATTGCGTAGCCACTGATTTTTGATTCCTCTATGAATTAAGTTTGTAGGTATCGAGGGTGTTGTGACCGCAGTTGTGGATTGGTATCCTCAATACCTAAGACGTGGCTACCGTAAGGAAATTTTCACTGCTGTTGTATGTGCAGTCTGGTTTCTCCTCGGGCTGTCCATGGTTACCGAGGTATGCTTCACTTCTGGTTGCTTTGTTGTTAAAAAACTAGCGGTATATCACGATTGTTTTGATTGAAAAGACCACCTTAATTACTAAGGTGACGAATAGACCGTGACGCCCTTGTTTAAGCGTCGTCCTCGAACGGGCGAACCATGTGAGAGCGAATGTAGTAATAACTGTCGCACCCAAAAAGGGCTGCATCTAAAGATACAGTGCTTATTCGTTAATTGTGTCCCAAGTCTCTGTGAGGTACAAGTTTTCCTAAACTACATCTCATGCAAAGCATTAATGTATTACTTCGAAACGGCGATATAGAAAAATTTCCCTTCTCCACTATATGATATTGGCATTTGGATCATAAAGAAGATGCAATGACATTAAAATTTTTGTTAATATAGAAGCCCATTGAAAACGAGAGAGTAAATGATCATTTGAACATGATCGCCTATTACTGTGAGGAGGAGGAGGATTCTAGTTTTATATAAAGATAGCCCTCTCGCGAGTGCCTCCACAGAATTAGGACAGCACCTGGGTCGCAAAAAACTTCACTGATACCTCGCCGCTTCAGTTACCTAGTAAATACGGCATGACTGTAATGTAATTGAGATCCAACTCCAAATTAATGACGAAAATTCAGAATTTATTAGAAGGAAAAATAGTCTGGGAAGTAGTGAAAATTACGAACTTTAACTTGAAACTACTTTGTCCTGCAGTGTTAAGGATTTCTGCACAAAATGTTCGACTATCATAATAAATTATTGAAGCAGTTGTAAAGTTTTTGGCGCGTATCGAGTAATATTGCCAATATTTCAGATTTATCTTTGAATCCTCAAAACATGCTAAGTTTCGAAATCTCTTGTATTTTTCTTGAACGTGGAGATTAAAATCAAAGGAATACTAGAGCACACTTCTCCTTTTAAGAGAGAATTTCCTTCCATACAGTAAACAAGTAAAATCAATATCTTTTCTAGGGTGGAATGTATGTCTTCCAGTTGTTTGATCACTACTCTGGAAGCGGATCTGTATTGCTACTGGTTGTCATCTGCGAATGTCTGGCTATTGGGTGGCTGTATGGTAAGTAACAATCCAATCCAATTACAGACTGAATTAACTGAATCAGTATGCGTATCATCCTTTAAGGAAGTCTGGTTCTGCTCCCAGGGGGTGCGGAGGCGGGGAGGCAGTAAAGATATAATTTCCCTTTTACCTTTCTTAGACAGGGAGGTTGAAAGGCTCACGATAAATTTTCGAAGTAAAATTACAGAATGCTTATCATGGGGGTGATCTGTGATAGAATAGTATCTCCATTGAAGAATGATGATATTTAGGCTTGCTTAATTTTTAAAAAACTGGGTTGGTTCCTTGGGCATTGGAATCGGGGTCATGTATTAGCCGTGAGATTTCACCTACTTTATTCGAATTTAATTTCGCAGTTTTAGCGAAACAATATTTCTCAGGGTTTTTTTTTCGCGATTTCAGCAGGCAAGTATTAAAACAGGGCATTAAATTTCGCGGTTCAAGCATTCTCAACCTTATTTTGTTTTTCAAAATTTCTTAACTTTCGACGACTGCTCGAAAGATATTCCTAGGAATTTGTTCGAATCTAGCTATTAAAATAACTAGCTTCTAATTGGCTAGTTAGCTCACTTGATAGAGCACTTCACCGGTACCGCAGAGGTCATGGGTTCAAATCAAGTTTAAATCCCGTACAGGTCTGAATTTTTTTCAGGCCTTGTAGTGCCAAGTAGTGTTCATTACTGCGAAGATTACTTTTATATTCATTTCTCAATCCGAAGTTCACACAATGATTTTTATATATGATGTGACCAAAAGAGGTCGAAGTTTTACACCTTCTTGTAGTCCCTTCAACGTATCAGTTCCCATAAGTCATTTGCTGAAATACTCTGATAAAACACTGAGGAAACCTCCAACAAAACGCACGTTTGGTGTGTTGTTGCTTTCATATTTATATCAAAACGTGCAGCAATGAAGATTTATGTTTTAAACTAAACACAGGTCGTAATCGTTTCTACGACAACATGGAGAGCATGCTGGGATTTCGAATCAATCCATGGATCGGTTGGTGTTGGTGTTTTTTCGCGCCCAGTTTTTGTGCGGTGAGTTTACGGTACATAGTTTTTAAAATGTAAAGATTTTCGAATAACGTATGAATAGGTAAGAACTTACTACAAAGAGGGACAGATTAGGGTTAGCTCCGATGAAAATTACCCCATACAGTCCCCTCATGCTGTTGAAACAGGATTAAAGTCTGGCAGTAATAGGCCGCTTGGCCCGTGGGACATAATCCTCGTAGTTAGAACATGGTAGAGCCGCTAAACAAGCTGGGACTCTAATTATGTATTAACTTTTGTTGCAGTTCATTTTCATCTTTAACCTGGTTACGTATCAGCCCATGAGTTATGGCAAGTACGTTTATCCAGGCTGGGGCCAGGCTTTTGGTTGGTTGTTGACGGCAACCTCGCTAACCTGTATCCCGGCTGTGATGATATACAAACTGATCAAGACCACAGGAACAATCAGAGAGGTACATGATTCAGTCATTATGGGGTCGCAGTTGGACATTTTCTATTAGTGCGCGCACAGACGTCGGAAATGAGCACAGAAGTTGCGAAAATTCTTAGAATGCCTTCCTCGGCGACCCGCGTCACATACCTTGAAAGAGAGACAAATCTAATCAACCCTTTCACTCCCACATCAAATTTGTAATTTTCCTTACCGTCAACCATACAATTCGTTTAATGTTAGTTCAGAGAATTTAGTATTAGATCAAATAATTATCCCCAAATTGGTATTGTTCTTTATCTCATCACTTATCTTGTTGATATTGTATTTATATCGTAAGGAGAAATTCTGTCCTGGTCACTCATGGGAGTTAAAGAGTTAAAAAATATTTTCAATGCTATCTTGCGTTTGTTAAGTAAGGATCACAGATGACGTCAAAATGTGGTAAGAACAAAAAAGTTGCACTCGAGGCGTTTTCCATTATGATCTCTTGTGAGTACATAACAAAGGGGCAACTTACCTAAGTAGTTAGTAGACGCAGTAATAATTTCATCGCCCTTAAAATCATGGAATGAGACAGTTGGTGATAGTTTTACTTTATATGATGAGATTTCAGTGAGTTGTACGTGTTCTTTTATTGCCAGCGTTTGAACAAGTTGATTATACCTGAGATTGAAGAGAAAAGGGATGAAATTGAACTTGAAGATCGTGAGGGACACCAGGCTGCTCTGTTGACGAAAGACAACGAGGAAAAAGAGCAGAAGGCCTAATGACTTGAAAACGCCAATGCATTTTATTCTTTGGAATAATTGCAATATTGATGTCGATTTATTCAGTTGTGTGATATTATAACTAGATGTTGAGATATGAACCAGTTAAGCGATCTAGCATTAATAAGAAGTGTACAATTAGCAATCATATCATTACCCCAATGAGCAATATAACTAGCGTAAGTCTTAGTTATTGAAAGGAAATGGAGGGCTTTGAAAATTGCTTTCGAAGGCTTCGAAGAAAGTACTTGCTTTTAATTCTTTTATTGATCAAATACGTTAGCTGAAGTTAAAGTAAATTATGTCATAATTTGAGTTTACTGTTTAGTAGTGGACTCTAATATGTACTTGCCTTTTTGTGACTAGTATGAACTGGCACATGACTACTGTTAGAAGTAAAACTCTAACACTCGTTCTGTTGAGTTTTTCTTTATTCTCTTCTTTTCTACTCAAGTTAATACAACGGGTACTAGCTCAGATCTCGCGAGGAGAGTGTGGGTCACCGCTTATAAGGTGACGCTTGCCGAGCTATTAATAAATCTCTAATCTCTGACCTTCGTCATGCTTTTACATTGAACTAGCGAATCGCGTTAAGCTACGCTGAGCGGAGTTCGCATACTAAGTAGATACTTTCGAGATGTTTAAAACAAGATTAGTAATATAAAAATTATAATGAACTTACTAACAGAATAAGAATCATACTTGAAAAAATATCTTAAGAGAAACTAGTCCTCGAAGACTGTTACACAACATGTTTACAGCTATTTCAATTTACGTTGTCGGATCAAAGCCTCAAGCCTACAAGACAAGACCGAAGGGGTATATGGGATTTTAATGAATAATTATCAGCAAAATTAACAATGCCTCGTCCATACAGCGAAGATCTCCGATGGCGAGCCATTTGGATGAAAGAAATGTTGGCAATACTAATTGTATTTTCAGCCTCCATGTCCATCTCGCGCCGACAACCCCGAAAGCCTATAATTAATTCTAATCTACCCATACCGCCTTTCGGTCTTGTCCCGTACCCTTGAAGCTTTGATCCGACAACGTAAATTGAAATAGCTGTATACTGTTAGTCGCCTTTAAGAAAAAGAGATGTCGAACATGTCAAAATAGGACCGCCAAAAAGACTAAGAAAGATCATCCGGCTTATTATATATTTAATGAGTGTCTTATGGTAATATATTATTTCCATTCATTTTCAACGTTTAAATAAGTCAAAAAATACCTTAAATGAAAATTCTTGCCAGATGCAAATTTTGTCTTTTTGTATCACTACGTTAGCGATACAAAAGACTCTCGGTAACTCGAATTGTCAGGGATTTCGGGCCACGCTCCCATTTATAATTTTTGGGCACCTACATCCTCCCCTGCTCCTCTCAGTGTTGGTCTGCCAAATGGTATAAACACGCTAGCATAGAAACATCTTCCTAGAAAAATGGGCGTTTATTGAAACATTGGTCTTTATAGAAAAATTGGCATAGGAACATCAGTATTTCTAGAAACACTGGCATAGACACATTGGTAATTAACATCATTATAAAGGCGAGAGGGACGGAAGAACATTGCAGACGTACTTCAGAAGAAATATTTCAACTAATTATGTCTAGAAGTGCAGCTGACAGCATGTAAACGAAAAATTCATAACAAAGAAAATGGGTTTCTAAGTGCGAGGTAACGGTCGAATTCAGGTGATTGAATTAATTTTAGCTGTTAAAAGAACCACTGACATAGTTTGCTTTTGTTCTTTAGTTCGTAACAGCTTTGTTTTCGATTAAGACGTAAATTTTTTTAGTTCACTCACGAGAAAGATTACACGCTTTTGCTTTACCTTTTCCTTGCACAGGTGCAGGTAGCTGTTGTTAACTTGCAAGACCGTCAAATTTCGTCACGCTTAACATCTCTCTTGTATTGCACTTTAAGTCAGGGTTGTTTCTCAAAGGTTTCTTTAAACCTCTTAGGTTCTAAAAGGCACATCTTGTCTATCAGATACCTGCACGATAGCACGGCAATTAAAAAATGACAAAGTTACAGTGGGAAAGTTGCAGATGACGGCTACTCACGAAGCGCTATTTTACACGATAATCCTTATCGAGAGAGATAAACAAACAACATACAGCAAGCGGAGAGTGTTTTTAGAAAAGATAATATTGGCTTAGATGCCAAAGTCCATACTCATAACTCATTGTAAAGTCCATTCTCTCAATTCACTCTTTCATTGTACTCATAATTCGAGTACACTGTTTAGTAGTCGACTCTATTAAATACTTGCCTTTTGGTGACTATCAAGAACTAGCACGAGACTACGTTAGTGATACAAAAGACACTCGGCAATTCGAAATGGCAGGGATTTCGAGCTACACTCCTATTTGCAAATTTTGGGGCACCTACATCCTCCCCTGCTTTTCACAATGCTGGTCTGCTAAATGGCATCGACACACTGGCGTAAAAACATGGGCATGGAAACATGTTCATAGAAAAATAGGCGTTTATTGAAATATTGGTATTTATAGAAATATTGGCATGGGAACATCAACATTTATAGAAACAATGGCCTAGACACACTGGTAATTAACATCGTTATAAAGGCGAGAGGGGCAAAAGAACATTGTAGACGTACTTAGAAATATTTCAACTAATTATGTCTAGAAGTGCAGCTGCCAGCAAGTAAACGAAAAATTCGCAACAAAGTAAATGGGTTTATGAGTTCGAGGTAACGGGCGGTTTCAGATAATTTAATTAATTTTAGCTGTTAAAAGCTAGCAAAAAAGTTTGCTTAAGTTCGTGGGTTTCTGTTACAGCTTTGTTTTCGATTTATGACGTAAAATGCTTTAGTTCACTCTCAAGAAAGACTACTCGCTGTTGCTTTACTTTTTCCGCGCACAGGTGCAAGTAGACGTAGCTGTTGTTGAGTAGCAAGACCATTAAATTTCGTCACGCTTAACATCTCTCCTGTGTTGCACTTTTAGGTCAAAGTTGTTTTTAAAAGGTTTCTTTAAACCTCTTTGGTTCTAAAAGGCACAGTTTGTGTATCAGATACCTGCACCATAACACGGCAATTAAAACATGACAAAGTTACAGTGGGAAAGTTGCAGATGACGGCTACTCACGAAGCGCTATTTTTATGACAATCCTTATCGAGAGAGATAAATAAACATCATAAAGCAAGCGGAGAGTATTTTTAGATCAGAAAATAATAGCCTAGATGCCAAAGTCCATACTCATGATACGACTAGTTTAACTTCATCATGTGAGTATCATTTGTCCGTTAGTGGAAAACAATAATAAGACGCATATTTTATTACCTACTTTAAATTAGTGTAAGGAATATTTGCAATATTTATGTCGATTTATTCAGTTGTGTGATATTATAACTAGATATTGACACATTGGTAATTAACATCATTATAAAGGCGAGAGGGACGGAAGAACATTGGAGACGTACTTCAGAAGAAATATTTCAACTAATTATGTCAAGAAGTGTAACTGAAATCAAGTAAACGAAAAATTCATAACAAAGGAAATGGGTTCCTAAGTTCGAGGTAACGGTCGAATTCAGGTGATTGAATTAATTTAACTGTTAAAAGAACCACTGAGATAGTTTGCTTTTGTTCTTTAGTTCGTAACAGCTTTGTTTTCGATTTATGACGTAAAATGTTTAAGTTCATTCTCGAGAAAGATTGCCCGTTGTTGCTTTACTTTTTCCTCGCACAGGTGCAAGTAGCTGTTGTTGACTTGCAAGACCGTCACATTTCGTCTCGCTTAACATCTCGCCTGT